TTTGAATGGGTTTGAAAGAAATTTGTTTTTGTCCCTAGTAGGACCGACTGAGATTTTTTACACAAACGATGGACGGTGATGTATTCTTAGTAAATGGTAAAGAGACAGCCGTGATGGGAATTCTCGAGGATTGTCTGACACGTGTTATAACGCACCGCATGCTTGAATTAAATATTTCACAAGAATTCGCTCTCTCGATATGTTTTTATTGGTCTCACTTGTGTGATAACAATAGCTATGTTTGTTATTTTTTTTTCGGAGAGTGATAACTCCAAACTCTTGTAATTTATTTAGATAAGAAAAGTTTTGCTGTAATTTCTTTCTACTTGAGCAGCAACATGTTAGGAATGTATCTCTGGTGGTTTATGTGCTCTAATATGTGAATCGATGCGATTCCAATTTAAAACGAATGTGCGAATCGGGGTAAATATTGCAAAACCAACACAAGATTGTTTTTAGATTGGTAAACTGGCTGAATCTATTATGGACGATGTTGTTTTGAATAGAAATTGAATTTTTACCATTTCGACTTTTAGTAAATTACTAAACCGCTTTTTACTTCACTCACTTGCTCGAAACTTTTACAAATGTTTTCGTCTTCACGAAAATGTATTGTTCTAAAGTTTCAAAGTTACAGGCGTACTGAATTCCAAAATGCTAAACATAAATCAAACATAGAAGGTTTCTTTGTTGATTTATGAAAATTAATAAAGCAACTACTGGTAGAATTATTCTTTAGGAATTTATTCAGTATTTAAAGAGTCTAGTGAATTTCAATTAGGCACGCAGCAATTCAAAGTTTTAATATGTATAAACAAAACTTAACTTAAAATATTAATCTAATTTAAATTTTACTCAACTGGAGTTTTCGTAATTTATAATATTTATTAAGCAACTGTTTACACATAGTAAATTATGAATTTGTATTTAATTTTATTTGTTTTTAGTTTTACAGTGTAAATAAATAAAGGTAAAATAAAAATAAAATTGAAGTAAAAGTTATTTGTGGGTTAGTTATGGTATAAACATAAATACTAAAAGATTATTTTCTTAAAGTTTCTTAATTGAGAAATTAATTGAGAAAAGAATTTTGCAAATGGACAAATATTACAACTAATATTAGTTTTTGAGTGTAATATTATTAATTGGTTGTTTGTCCTAATATTTTGTTGTTTTATGGAATGCAAATAACTGCACTTTTCCCAATTATCGCCTTCAATTAAAGCAAGAAACACTTGTCACGTAAATAATGCCAAGCTGACGTCTTCATACTCGTCTTTGTGCTCACTGAGGTTGATAAAGGAACCATCTCGAGATAGTTGAGTGCATACCTGCCATCATTAAAGCACGCTTGACATGAATTCAATTTCAATTGATTTTACTGGGACACGGTAAATTCCGCGGCGAATATCAAGATGAGTGGATAGCCTCTGCGTAAACACGTCTTGATATGTGTTTTTACAGTTAATTTACCACTGCAAAGTTTTTTCAGGACTAACGACCATGTTTTCGGGAGTTTATTTGTTGTACATCGGTTAATGAGAAAACGCCACAAATTTTATCAAGTTTGTGGGGATTTTATGGTCTATTTATTAGCGTCATTATTATGAGGCTATAATTTGTAAGATGTTTGACCCAAGATAGGGGTGAAAACCCTTTAAATTTGACCAATTTTGTTCAGCGAATCGAACAAAAGTTTTCTCATAAGTGAGAGTTTTTTAATATGCTGAGCCAAAATGAAAGAATAAAAGATATTAAAACAAAATGGTTGTAACGTTTGGGCAATTATTTAATGTTTAATTTTAAGGTTAATGTCTAGGGACTGTTTATACGATAAAAATTCGGACTGACGATAATTAAATATTTAACTCGACGAATTAACTTTTTGTTGTACAGGTGTTTGGGAAAAGTTTTGATGGATAAATCCCGACTTTAAAACTGTCAGGACAGCATTAGCGAGGTCTCAATTAAGTCCTAATTCTGGCAAAGTTCTATTTTGTGCTTATGTTTCAATAAAACTTTGATTTTGTTTCAGAATTTAAAGAATCAAATAATGACAACAAATTTATGGGTCGAGCAAGTAAGTTCTAATTTCTGCTTTTTTACCTTTAATCCTCGGTGTAAAGTGGCCAATAAACTAAATTAGCTTGCAATGCAAGCTGAAATCGCTATTTAAATAATTCCGTTTTATTGGCTACTAAAACACAAAGGACCGCTGAAACAAAATTTAATTAAATGTGGTTTTAATTCAATTGCCTTTGTTTGTAGTCGTGGTACGACTACAAATTGAGGTGGGAACCGAAAGAATATGGAGGGGTCCACATGCTTCACGTTCCTTCGGATCATATATGGAGGCCGGATATCGTCCTATATAACAAGTAAGTTGCTTTATATGTCTAATTAGTATTTTTGCCCATTTTGTAGTCACAACAAAGTGTTGCTTTTCAGATCTCAAGTATATTTCTAACCGCTTGCTTCAAGTGTCCCAAAAAATCTATAAAGGTGTCAAAATTTGAAACGTTTTTTATGGCACAATTATTTTTTGGCTATAACACAGCTTTGCTCCTGATTATAAAATAAACGTTTGTAATATTTCTTTTGGAGTATTTGCATGCGTTTTGTGTAAAATACATAATAAATATAAGTTTGTGTAGGAAATAAGACTGTTATTAATACTAAAACTTTCCGGTATGCGGCTTCGGACTTTTATGATGAAAATAAATTTCATGCTACATAAAATATGATGCTGTCACAGAAGCTTATAATTCACACGGACCTAAAGGATAATAGTGAGATAAGGTGAAGATGTGTTCAAGTTAAATCCGTGATATTTTTGTCTTAAAGCGAGGTTTTATTCAAAACAAAGAGAATCATTAGAGGAGGAAATGAAAAATTATCGCTTATTTTCTTTCTGTTGTGAATCTATTGAGATTCAAGGAAAATGTTTGTTTTAATCTGGATTTATGACGTGTATTTAATATTTTCACGAGAACCAACGCAAATTCTTGAACACAAAGATTTAATTCTCTTTAACGGGAAACTGAAATAATCATTTCGCAATGTCACGCTTATTCCGGTATTACATTTTGGACAAATTCCAACTGTTTCTCCTGAGAAATATAAATTCAAAACTTTGCAACAACTAACACAAATTTAAATTATGTTTTTTTTGGGCAAAATTAAACTAAGATTAACGCTTACTCAAAAAATAACGTTGCGAATTTTCCGATGCACTTTCCATATTGCCTTCTTTATAGCTCGGCTTTTTTCCCGTATTGCCTCATATTTTACTCTACAAACTGTATACCACTTTATGTCAGAAGCTTGGGCAAAAAAAAAACCTTTTAATGGTCAAGGGATAGAAAGTTTGACTTTAAATTGGATTTTTTGCTTAAGACGATTTTATTCAAAATTTTCAATAACAGCACTTGCCAACTTCTCATGACCAACATGTTTACGAGCTTAGTCACTTCTATATTTCAGTGTCGTCATTTCTGCTGTATTTGAGTTGATTACTCGACAAGGATGAATTATTTGCCTTATAGAAAAACTAAGAAGAAATGTGGGGCACGTTTGCCCGTATGTATCTCTTTACAGAATTGAGTTTCGATGTAACTAGCTTCGAGAACCGATACTTTGACTAGTTTCCCCTTCATTCTGCTTACAGACATTTAAAGTTATTGAAGGCATTCTTTCAGGAAACTGTTAGTTTGACAAAGAAGTTGAACAAAGTTCTATAAAAAATGTCTGTTCTGGAGAAGACGTCCGGATATCGATTTGTTTCTGCAGTTTACCAATCATTTAATATTTCGTAAATACGCCTTTACTTTAAACGCTTCTGTGATTAATTTTCATGTTATACTCCAAGTTTCATGCTAATTAATTATAGTGTACAAGAATTTTTATGTTCCTGGTGAGATACAACAAGATTACCTCGCCTGGTATTGATTTATGATTTGTGAGGGAATTTGTTAAGTTAATGTGCTAAAATTTAAGAAATAAAAATGTATATTTTTAAAATTCAATTTGCGGTACAGAGCTACGCATTTTCTTCGAAATTGTTCTTAAAATTTCATTCAACTGTCAAAACTTTATTAATAATGTAAAGGAAAAACTAGTCAACGTTTGATGTTCACGCTAAGCTGCTTTTCCCAGTGTCAATTCCACCATTCGAGCCAAACAATCATAAAAGCAATTTCGAGCGATTTAACAACCACTTTGATCACCGATATAGGTTTCCATTTCATTAAACACCAATTGATCGTTATTATAAACATTGTCTTAACTAAGAATATTAGATCCAAAAGCTGTTTTCTAAAATTGTATAAACATATAAAAATTGTATTTCTACTTCAACAAAATGCTTCTGGAAGTGAGGCAACTATTGCACGATTGTTTGATGCATTAGTTACCTTTAAGGCCTGCATACTGACACATGCTAATGGCTTAAAATTAATCATTAAACGATACATTGCTGGGTAATAGCAGACCAGGGAACAGAAATCCTCTGGTATATTAGCAGCGTTCAGCATAAAGTGTTGATACGTTCACTGACAGTAACTAAAGTAATTTACTGGAGTATCTCTTGGGATAAGTCCTCCCACATTCCCTTTGCTATTTTTGTAATTTTGTTTTATAGAATTACGACCTGTCTTTTGTCCTCGAGATTGAATTATGCCGAGTAAATATTGAGAGGAGTCACTATGCAAATTTATTCCGAATATATTGAATTAATACAGGATTTCTGTAATTTTGGGTAAAAACAGAACGAGGCTACATGTTTATTAAATTAAGAGCGGGGGCTTCCATAAATGAATAAATAGTATACGTAATTGAACAAGTTCTGTATTAAGAGGGATGAATGCGTCGGGAATATTGTTAGGGCGAGATGCCAATTAAATTACGAAATTATAGGGTATTTAATGACGGAATGTGGGGACCACAGACATGCTAAAAGCGAGATATCTTGGTTAGGGGAACGTCTTATCCTCTCAGGCAGCATGAGTTATTATATTGACATTTAAAATATACTTATGAATTTATAACATATGTATCCTCGAGTTACGAATAAAAAATAAAGGAAGCAAAAACAACCTCAAACAAATTTTTTCTCATTCTGTCAAAAGTTTTTATTTGTATACTAAGAGAGTCAAAGAGAAATTACGGTTCTTGCTTGACATATGATAAAACTAATTGGATTAATGGCTTGCACTAATTACAAGACTAGTTCCCTTGTGAAAGATGACACTATTCACCGCTAGACAAGTTTTAATCTTCCTCAAACCCATCAACGAGTACTTGAATTTCTCAAATGTTTTTTTCTTGTTTTCTTTCCTCTTGATCATATTTCACTTTTGTTCATTTATATTTTTAGTAGTGTTGACGAAGATACATCTTTATGTAACATAAAATGACATCGATTCAAAGCTTGGGAATTTTTCATTTTTTGAGTGATAAATATTTATAAAAAGTAAAACGGATCAAATGTCACTAAAACAATTTTATTATTATGGATACTGTTCCAAGTTTTTGCTCCGGCTTACATATATTTTCCATTAGTGGAGTTTCATCCTTCGTAAAGTCTTATTAGCTCGAGTTGCTTTCAGTTGTGTGATCGCATAAATAGTCTTCATGTAAAATTGCTCGCGTCGTATATTGTAATAAATACTAAAGAACTTTGGAGTTAAAAAATAATTACAGCTGAAGTTTTAATTCATTTTAAATGCAAAAATCAGCTTCTTGCTGATGAAGTAACTTTAGAACGATTTTCAGCGTGAATGAACCATTATTTCCGAAAGCTATATTTCAGAATAATAAGGAAATTGCATCTTAAGGAATTACGGAACCTCGCCGAAAGCATTTGTTATACCTGACTGGAAATTCTCTTAGATGTATTACCAGATTTTAATTGCGTTTAAGGAGGACTTGAGAATTGTCGCACATTTTTCTCGACGACTCGTCCGGGTAAATATCGATTTTAGTGTTTAGAGGGAACGTTCCTGTTTTCTCAGATGGTCGAAAACCTCATATAGACAACTTCAACGACTGTCATTTAACTTATCTTCCTTGTTCCAACTGCTTAGTTTAGATTACCGTTCAAAAAAGAGAAATCCGGTCATATTTGCTCAGAAATACAAGGATCTTGTTAAAATTTAAATGCGTGTCCAAAAAACTCACCCTCTTAGTGTCATGATTGCTTCTGAACTTTGACTAGAGATATATATTCCGAACGTTGAATATTAAATGAAGAGAAGTAAAATCCAAGAGGGAACATTTTTGTCCTAATTATTAATTATTTCCTTGCACCAGCAAGGCGTGGTTTTTGGACGTGAGGGTTTTGATCACTGGGGTGGTGATGGAGTGATGTACGTGATAAAGACACTCTCTGTATTTTTTTCGGTGTGGAAATACGTGAGAGACAGATTTAACTCTCACAAATCTCACCATTTTCAGCCGCTTTACTTAAAAATTTGCTGAGTTCTCATTAAGAGATTCCTCTGGATTATAAAAGTATGAAACTTCGGGTGACGTAACAATTAATCAGAGAGTTAGGCGGAAGCTGAATTAACTTGATGTTCTCGTAATAAAAGTGCTCGTAAAAATATTTCAAATACCTTTTTCGTCTGATTAAAGGAGATACGTATGTAAATTCTTATTAATTTTGACACCTTTATATTGCGTCCCATTTCCTCGTTCACAATAAATACGAGTGACAAGAGCCTCTGGCCAATAAAACAAGATCATAAAACCCTCCGGAGCGACTTTATCGCACCCCAGTTATGTCCCTCGAACTCCCTGTCACATTCCTCCACCTTCCCTCGTATTTATTAGCACAACATACGTGGACCAGTTCCAGTTTTCCTGTTGTGAAATGTTCAGAAATCGACTTAGTTTATGTTAGTTTGTGCGGTTGCTGGTCGTTGTTGATTGCCTTGCAGCGCGGACGGGAACTTCGAAGTTACCCTGGCCACCAAGGCCACCATCTACCACCAAGGTCTAGTCGAATGGAAGCCACCAGCTATATACAAGTCCTCTTGTGAAATTGACGTTGAGTATTTTCCGTTCGATGAACAGACCTGCGTCCTCAAATTTGGTAGCTGGACTTATGACGGCTTCAAGGTAGGTGCATGGCCGACGACTGGAACCCATTTTACCTATCCTAGTTACGGATTCTACCAGATTTTGTCATGTGTATACCAAAATTTCTAGACACCACCCACTCTTACTCACGTTGTAGTATTTGATGAATTGGGAGGTTTTGACGTCGTGTGAATTGAGAAAAGGAGCAGATGGCACGTAAACACTGTGATCTGAAAATAGCACGGCACTGAAAAGAGTTGGATAGGCGATCAGTCGGCACCGCAGATTTATGATCATCACATGGCAATCACGTCACGTAAATCAGCTTCAAACGGTCGCGATCAGCTCTAAATTCGCTGGCCTCAAGTGAATGGAGTCATTTTAGATTATCCCGTTCTCTGGCCATTTCAAAAACAGGTTTAATAATGCAGATATGTCATAAAGCAAAGGGCGAGAACGAGTGCTGGTCGGAATAATAAAGTTACTCAAATCTGTGTGCAGTTGGAGTATTTTATTTTATTCAGCGAAAACGGCAAGCGTGTATAGGTGTCGGAAAAAGAGTTGGTATCGTTTTCGGCTTAGGAAGAATACTTTTTGCTTCAAACGCGTTTGGCTTTTGAACGAAAGCTTTTGTTTGTGGATGTGTCTGGAAATTTTGGTGGTTATTTCGTACCTTTAAATCAAGCCCAGATGTGTAAATTCACCCGAAGGTAATGGAGTTGACCGATGGCAGTCATCCCCAAGGTTGTGAGTGCGTGAATCGAGCGAGAGCACTGTCAGTGTGTTTTCTTGCAGCGCCGACGGCAACTATGAGGTCACATTGATGACCAAAGCTACCGTCTACTACAACGGCCTTGTGGTGTGGCAGCCGCCCGCGGTTTACAAGTCCTCGTGCGCTATAGATGTAGAATTCTTTCCGTACGACGTCCAAACATGCGTTTTGAAGTTAGGAAGTTGGACGTACGATGGGTTTAAGGTTCGCGTGGTGTTATTGTTAACTGGTGTTTGTTTAGAGAAATGCGCTCCCTGTACATATCGACTGTTTACACTTGGGAAAGGTATAAAATTAACAAAATTCACACTATATATACTCACTACCGGGCACTGCTGGGCGGGTAAAACAAACAAATAGATGCATGACGGAAATGTCAAGCGGACGATAATCGATCTCTGGGACACACGCGCATTTACTTACTCGACCAAAATTAAACCCATCGTCATTACTAATGCCCCATTTTTACATAGCCCATTCAATGGTGATTCAAACTACGCGCTTGAAACGACACAGAGTCGTCTCTCAGTCATTACCCAAAGTTCAACAGATGGCGATTCCAGTTAAATACTCCACACATAAATCCGTCATTCCAGTATTTAAACACCAAGCAGCGGCACTGAAATTGAGTTCGCTTGTAATTTTAAAAATGATATATGCCGGTCTATTTCAGCTACTGTGCACAAAATATTGCAAACAGCGTTTGATGTATCGAACTGCTTTTTAAATGTAAAACAGTTTTGGGAATACGTTCGCATCCCTATGACAATAATGCATCTTTTGTGATAAATTTTCTATTTTAAAAATGGTTTTGTTTTTTATTTTTAGCGCTGATATCGTGTCATTTTTAAAAGATGAGTTTTTGATTGTAGATTTTTAAAATTAAGATTACCAGCTGACTGGTCATTAAAACAGACAAAACATTCCTAAAAATAAAGTCTTATAATACAGCTTTCAAGCTTTTTGCTGAGGCAGAAACCGAAACGAAGAAGCTAAAATATGAAATTCGTTTCGCTGAAAGGAACGTTTCAGAATATTAAATGCGTTTTTTATGAGAAATACTCGTATTTTACCACAATCGCGTTTGATACAATTTTTTAGTGATAATTAATTGTCATGCATGATGATTTTAATTACAATGTAAGAGAATGTGCAATAAAAACCTAATCGAGTCAACCGAGATTTCCTGTCTAATATTGTAGTTTTATCATGTTTTAATAAAATTTATTTATTCAATTTGTACAAAATTAGTTAGGTAAAATAATCATTAGCTGTGGTTTTGTACAAGCAAGTAAAAATGTTCTAAACATGTTTTGGTCATAATACACCTAGATTTAATTACATTTGTGTTTAAACTGTGTAAATTCATTACTAGCAAATTTTACAACAAAGCATGTTATTTGGCAATTTTACAGTCAAAGTAAAATAATACATTTGATTAACAATACAAAAAATAAACATAATTTACGTTTGACTATCCGAAAAACCGCAAATTTAATGTGAATGATACGTAAATAAAAGTTTTGCAGTTTTAGTTGCTGGGGGCTTCAATATAACTTGTTTATTTTCTCGCAATTATAAACTAACACCTAACAGACAGGCATCAGTTCTCACGGGCCATTTCGCTTAATTTTGATTTTGTTGCACGATTTATTTTCCCTCGCAGTTACTCGCGTCTTAAAGCCGAAGATCCATCCGAGTTCCATTCATAGCTTGTAGATTGTCTTAAAATTCCACGGTAGAGTTCACCAGGGACCATTAACTTATCCTTAATGCAGTACTGGCTTAGATTAAAACTTTTATTGACTGGGCTATGAGAGAAGTTTGCATGAAATTGTTTTGCTTGAATGTTGCATGAATCGTGTTGGCTTTTCAATTGATATAAGTAATTATTTTTCGGCAGTGAAGCAAGAGAATCGTTTTTGTTTCGTCTATTGTTGGCTCAATTCAATTTTTGGGGGAGCCATTTTGTTTCATCGGTTGTCGTTTCACTAGGTTCAAAGCACTCGAGAAAGCAAAGTTCAATGAATGCATGCACGAGTTTGCACCTTGCTGAATTTATAGCGTGTTCAGTCTCTATTAAACGGTGGCCAATCGTTAAAAGTTCATGCAAAAGCTCTCATTGTATATCGATAAGACGAGAGAAGAGTTTATGATTAAGGACGTCAAGCTTTAGTGTGTAAAGTTTCCAAATGTAAAGTCCATTAAGTCCATTAATCAATTAGTCTTCAATTGATACAACTTTGAAAGCTTGCTGGGTATTCTCCTAGAAGAATCTGTATTGTGTGAACTGCAATTGATTTGTCAAGAGAGTAAGGGCTTCAGTTTATGGCTTCCGGGTAGCCATATCCTTTGCCCTGAAAGTAATTCACTTTTTAAAAACAATAAATAATCTCGCCGTAAAAATTCTGAAACTGTTTTTGGATAATTATCCACTTTCCCTTTGTGCTATTTGCATTCAATTTGCTTAAAAGTGATCCAGACGAAAGAATAACAATATAAGCAGATCAATAGAATAAATTAGTTCCGAAGAAAAGCTGGAGGTATGTAGAGACGTTGAATCTCGTTTGCTTATCCCAGTTATTGTCTCTAATAGGTTTTAAATTTACATTTGATGTGGCAAGCGTGTTGTCTCACGATAATACACTTTAAAACGCTTTTTAATTCAAATCTTGATATCACAAGACATTGAAACCCATTTACAACAACTGATATTTAAATGACGCTAATTTCGACACGCAAATAAACTTTAGCAATAGATTGCGTTTTTTTTTTTGGAATTACGGACGTAAATATTTCACTTCTGTGTTTAAATAATAAACAAACAATGATTTGTTTTGTTTTATAATAGAGCGGAAAGAATAAATGTGTGTAATATTCGGAGACACCAGTAACTTACTGTCAAATATCAAGTACCAACTAGAAGTTAATTGCATTACCGTAAAATAAATTGCTTGAAACTTGCAAAGTAATTTGCATCCTGAAGCCTCGAGCAAGATATGTCGTTAAACGATAAATGCTCAACATACTGTGCATTTATATTTTATAGCAATAAAAGTGTCGAAGTAAAAAAGAAATAATTTTTAATTAAAATGTACGAGTTTCAATTCCCAAGTATTTTTAGATTCACTTTTTTTCGACTAGCAATTTTATTTTTCAGCCACAATTATTGTGATGGAACATCGCGAATTAAGTTACGACCATATAATAAGCTTATGTCAACTTTTTTCTTTTGTTTGAGGAGATAAATCTGAAGTTAATCAAAACGGATATTGCTTTTTAGCTTTTGAATAAAAGCTAAATTAGTTTTTGTAGATTGTAGTTTAAAATGTTTTAAATAAACTTATAAACAAAGTAAATTAATTTTTTTAATAAAAACTGTCTTATTGTTCGTTAGTGGTAGCCAAACGCGCATTTTTGTCGTTATTGTAATTTTTGATGGTGTAATTATTTTTGTCGCACCACAAATTTTATACCTTTTCCATTAAGGGAGGTTAGTGTTAGATAGTTTCGGTCAATGTTAGATAGATGTCGCTTACGTTGGCTCTGCGGCATGCAGGCGCTACCAATTTAAAGGAAGAAATTCTTGTAAACTATGTTTTGGTAAGTATGAAAAATGACAAAGTACGCTTCACTTAATTTTAATCATCGTAATTAAAAGAAATGCCGGTGTATACAGAAATAATGGCTTGTCTTGCGCTTCGTGCTTTACATGGTTTTCTGTAATGCTTTAGTTTATATCAGGGGTTTTCAGCTGCGATATTAAATGATCTATTATGTCGCTTCATTACTCGCCTAGCAAAAACATTGTGACACCCGCTAAAAAATTGAATTAAATCAAAATATAAAAATACACAAATCATTGCACGACTTTGATTTTGGTTGGAAATTTTGTTCGCCGCATGCTCATCTCATTCATTTGAAATATTATTACGAACACACAAATTCGAATTATACCAAACTTAGTGTAATTGAAGAGATATGTACAAATTTCGAGAGAAAAGATAAACCCATTTTTCCTCCAGTAATTAAACTGTGGTTAAAACTTCTAATCTAATCATCTCGTTATAACATCTACGTTTATAGTATTACATTTAACAAGTTTGAGCTTTTAATAACTTTAAATTTGTTTGGGTAAAATCTTAAATTGGGTTTAACTTTGACAAATCGATTTGTATTGAATTGTTTACACTTATCTTCTCAATTAAGTTTTGACGGAGCGATTTACTAGTGAATAAATGATCCTATTACATCTATCTTGTTACCAACTTAACTGTTTTAATCTTCCGATAGTTTAAAGTGAATTCGATTGTCATGAAAAAGTATCGTGGATTAACTATACCCACAGCTTGAAGGAGGGAAAAAACGTCAGTCTTGAACGCCAGCTTCTAGCAAATTTAATCATCGGTTAAAATTTTCGTTAACTAACGCATGGTTAATCAAGCGCTAAATAATTTGTCACTGATCGGAAATGCCCGACATGTAAATTAGATTTATTAAACCATCACGGATAAGTGGTTTAATCGGGTTTAATTTAC